CCTGCCTCCCGTCCTCCTGCCTCCCAACTCACTCATTCGAGGGGGAGGGGGGGGCGGTCGCCTTCTCTCTCCACCCTCCCTCCTCTCCTCCTTCCCCTCCCTCTCCTCCTCCTCCACCTCCTCCTCCTCCTCCTCCTTCTCGTTCTCCTCCTCGTCCTCCTCCTCCCTCTCCTCCCTCCCTCCTCCCTTCCTCGCTCCCCTCTCCTCCTCGTCCTCGTCCTCGCCTCCCACACTCCCTCCAACTGTATGTGTGTGTGTGTGTGTGTGTGTTTGTGTGTGTGTGTGTGTGTGTGTGTGTGTGTGTGTGTGTGTGTGTGTGTGTGCGTGCGTGCGTGCGTGCGTGCGTGCGTGCGTGCGTGCGTACGTGCGTGCCTGTATCTTTACATGTTGCTTGTGTGTGTATGATTCAGAGGGGGATATATACATACATATAGAGAGCGAGCGTATACATACGTAGAAAGAGAGAGAGAGAGAGATCGACCTCGGGGATGCATGAGTCGTAACGATGCTTCAACTTTGCACCCAGCATGCTCTGTATACGATGCTTTTGTGTCAACGCCCCGTGCGAAGTGCATGGGCTACATGTGCCCAGTGCCGTCAGGACGTGAAGTCCAAGTTGCTGATCTGCTTGACAGAGGCGCGCTTGTCCACCCGCTTGCCAGAGAAGCCCTGGACATGAGGGGCGTGAGAGCTGTCGACGAAGGGGTTCGTGCAGTCCCGGTCGTCTTTCAGCGAGAAGGACGCCTGGCAGCTGGCTGGCTACCAAAAGCAGCACCCCCGCAATTCAACCGCGGCCGCTCACGACACCAATGTGACACCCGCGCCTCCGGCGTCTCGCGCCCCGCCTCTGAGTCGAGCCGCCAGCGACCAAACTCTCGACCCCCTCCCGGACACATTTTTCTGCGTCTGCTTCCTCCAGAAAGGGGCGGGGTCTGGACCTGGCCGCCCGACGGGAAGGGGAAAAAGCGCCTCCAGGGCGCGACGCCCCGCGACACACGCCGATCAGACATTTTTCCGGTCTGCGGGTCCACGACCGCTCTTCAGGGGTGCTTTGTCGTCCCAGGTCCGTGTTCGTGATGCTCCCGCGGCCTCTCCCGCGGCCTGAAAAAAAAAGGCGGGGTGCACCGGCTCAGTGGGTGAAACGTCGCCGCCGTCGTGGTCGTCGTCGCCAGCGCCGTCGTCGTCACCGTCGCCGTCGCCGTCGCCGTCGCCGTCGCCGTTGCCGCCGCCGCCGCAGCCGTTGCCGCCGCAGCCGCAGCCGCCGCAGCCGCAGCCGCCGCTGTCGTCGTCGTCGTCGTCGTCGTCGTCGTCGTCGTCGTCGTCTTCGTCGTCTGCGTCGTCGTCGTCGTCGTCGTCGTCGTCGTCGTCGTCGTCGTCGTCGTCGTCGTCGTCGTCGTCGTCGTCGTTGTCGTCACTAGGCTCTCGATAGCGAAGCCGCACGTTCCTGGGCGGGGTGGGCTGGCGGGCGGCTATCGGCCACGAGTGGGCCCTTGGGGGTCGATGCAGCCCCCCTGAACTCATTCCCTCCCTAATGAACGTTGCCCCCTGATAGTGACCTCAGCCCTTGCAGTGAGACTGCTGCCACCAGGAACGCTCAGAACGAATAACACCTCCTTGGCCCAGCGCGCTCCTGGGGTGCACGGCACTGAACTAACCACCCTTCGCATTCGAGCGAGTGATCGCCATCACACGAACGGCCCACGGCATCGGGATAATAACCGATCTCCCCCGAGAGCGCCTCCGCGAGCTGCGGCGCGGGGAATTGGCGACTCGAGGATCGCGCTCGAGGAGGAACGAGGAGCGGGGCTCCAATCGCCAGGAAGCTGGGAGCACACACATGGTTGGATCCACAGGTGGAATACAGTGAAAACGTGTAGTAAGGACGCGTGGTAAGGACGCAAGACCCTTGGAGGCCGAAGTTGAAGTATTCTGGGCGGCAGGCGGCCAAACCCCCAGGGAACCTGAGAAACTGGCCTGCGAAACTTGCTAGGGACGGGCCGCAGAGGCCGAGGCAGGCAAGGACCCAAGGGCACCCTTGAAACAATCGTTGGTTCTTACTATGCGCGTTGACTGTATCATCCGGAGGCCACGCGCTGGATGCACGCGCGAACGCCTGCAAAGAAATCCGGCCACATGGCATGCACCCAACTCTCGCCCAGGCCGGCCACGTCACGTGTACCCAGGCTTGCCGTCGCTCGGACGTCAGTGTCCCGTGCATTGCTTTCGGTTTCGTGCGTGTTTTTTTGGCTCGATGATCCAGGATGGTCCTCGAGTGTCCTCGCCGAGGAAAAGTGCACACGTCCGAGCGATGCCAAGCAGCTATCTGGCAGAGACTTTCTGCTCTGCTGCCAGCTTCGGGCCCCTTTGCGGTGGCCTCCGGGGACCCCCGACCCCCGACCCCCTTGGGGATCTGGGGAGACCTGTGGGCTCGCCATCGCTCGGAAGTCCATTCCTCGTGTATTTTTCGATTTCGTGCGTGTTTCTTTTCGCCAAATGATCAATGATGGTCCTCGATGGCCGTCGCCGAGAAAAAAGTGCACACGTCCAAGCGATGCCAAGAGGGGGGGATGAGATTCTGAGATGCCCTGAAGCTTTTCTCACCCTTTTTCGGGGTCTCGCCTCTGGCACCCTCCAGGGGCCAGGAGCGTCAAGAGGGAGGCAGGGGAGGATCGAAAGAGAGAGAGAGAGAGAGAGGGAAGATGTGGACCCAGACCTCTCGCAACTCGCCTTTCCGAAACGCTGGTCCATGGAACTCGCGACCCTCGATCCCTTCGTGGGGCTCGTTTCTTACTCCTGGGTGGTTTTAGACGAGCTTCGGGCACGGGAGCGGCCCCCGGACATCAAAACAACGACAACCATCTGGCGCGGTTTTTGCGATTCACCAGAAGTCTGGGGAGGAGGAAGTGGAAGAGGGAACGAGGGAGGTAAAGGAGAGGGATTCACCCGCCCTGTCCCAAACTCCAGGTCGTCCCGACCCCACCCCAAAGGTGGAGGATTGTTTTTTCTGGGCGTTCTCTGGGTACCTAGTGGGCCGCCATGAGCTTCCGGAGGGTCTGGGGGCCTCTGAAGGATGAGGTGGAGGGAGGAGGTGGAAGGAGGAGGAGGAGGAAGAGGAGGAGGAGAACGGGCGGAGGAGAAGAACGCTGACACTTTCTCGGTAGTGACCCACGCGAGCCGCGAGCGGAGGAGACGTGGTCTGGACGGCGACTGGAGGACAGAGCCTATGGACAACCACTTGGACGCCCCTCACAATGGGGTCGGAGAACAGCACCGCATCGCCGATGCATCGGCGATGTCGGGACGAAGAGAAGCGGGCTGCGAACTGCGCCGCATCGGCGATGCGTGGGCGATGCTGCGCGATCCTCCGATTCAGCCCATGCTTCTCTGGCGAACCATATGGTGCACTGCGGGTGTCTTTGCCCATGGTCGTCTTCGCCACGGTCGTCTTCGCTGGGGCCGTCTTGGCCCGGCCGCCTTCGCTCGCGGTTGTCTCCGTCCAGCCCTCTTCGCCCAGGTCGTCTTCGCCAGAGGTCGTCTTTTGAGCAGGGACCGACCGTCCCGGCATTCCTACAGTCCTACCACGAAATTTTCTTAGAACCCAAAAATGTTCTAAGAACAAAAACAAGGTTCTTAGAACATAAACCCGATGTGATCAAACAGGACAGTCCGAGCCAGAAATGCTCTAAGAACACTTCGTACATAAAGCTGTTAGAACATTGTTTGGTAGGGATATAGGCACGCCGGGACGCTTCGCCACTGCTTGAATCTTCGCCCGGCGGGGTCACCCTCGCCCGGTCGTCTTCGCTGGACGCCCACCCGACCCGCCACGGCCCGCTCGCCCGGCCTCGCCCGACACGCTGGGGGGTCCGCCGCGGCCCGCCCGCCCCCCGCGGCGTCGGGGCCCGGCCGCCCGACCACACGCGGCCCGCTCGCCCGCTCCGTCCGTGATGGGTGCGGCCGCCCGACCCGAGGATGCAAGAGGGCCTGGGAGGGCCGTTTCGAGGCTTCTCGAGCGGGACGCGGCCAACGAAGGTGACGAAGGCTGGACCGAGGAGGCAAGGATGCAAGGGTATCATTGGGAAGGCTGCCCATCTTTGCTGTGCGGGCTGAACGTAGCGTCTTCTCGCCCGGTCCGCCAGTTCGAGTCCGCCTGCCCGGGCCCGCCCATGCGACGACGACAGCCAGCGAAGACGACCGCCAGCGAGGACGATCTCGTCGAAGACGGCCCCAGCGAAGAGGGTCGCTGGCGAAGACGACCCTGTCGAAGACGACCGCCGGCGAAGACGACTCGTGGCTTTCCGCCACGAGGGCACAACGGCTTCGCGCGATGGGTGAAACAGGCCGCGGCCACGGCACGCCGAGCGGAATAGAATGCGCTTGCGCGTCATCTCAAGTACCCGGGCAACGCGCGCGCGCGAGTGTCCGCGCTGTCTTTGTTCTGCTCAATTGGGAAGCTCTTTCTCCGCCCATGTCTGTTCAACCTACTGCGCCAAGTTCGATGCTTTGGTGGCCTGTGGGGGGCAAATTCGCGCACTTCGCGATGCCCGAGCAACAGGCCCTCAGGGCGGGATCCTGGCCTATCGGCCCCCGCTGGGTGGAGCCCCGACGTTTGTCCCCCCGATGGTGCCCCGACATCCGACGTCGCGACAGAAGCACGACGTTATGGCACACACGGAGCTCCCTCCCCCACGAGGAGGAGGAGGAGGAGGAGGAGGAGGAGGAGGAGGAGGAGGAGGAGGAGGAGGAGGAGGAGGAGGAGAGGAGGAGGAGGAGGAGGAGGAGGAGGAGGAGGAGAGGAGGAGGAGGAGGAGGAAGGAGGAGGAGGAGGGGGAGGAGGAGGAGGAGGAGGAGGAGGAGGAGGAGGAGGAGGAGGAGGAGGAGGAGGATCGGCCTGGCCCATCTTCATCTTGCGCGCGTTCTTCTGCCTGTTGCTCTCGCCGGCGTTGACTCCCGCGCGCTTGCGGTCCCGCTCGGCCGCCCGCAGCGCCGCCTGCTTCAGC